GCCCGTTCCACCATCGTAACACGATATTGTCCGCTTTGGGCTTACTATTCCCTCACGGTTTTGTTTTTGGGAACTCACGAACAACTTCTCAATGGGTCACCCATCCTGGGAGTACACTGGCCTCCTTCTCGCTTAACTTCGGAGTTCCTATAGAATCTGAAGCCAGTGAGTTCCCAAAAATCCTCGTGCTAGATAGGGATGAGAATATACATTTAAGGATTACTCTCCTGGACGATGTGGGATGTTACAGCAAATATATTGTAGCATCAACAAGAAAATGATTTCTTCAACGTTACTCTTGAAATGTATTATGTTATATTATATAATATGTTTCTTCAACATTAGTCTTGAAAATAAGGTGGGGCCTAGCTCCGTTTTGAACTAGGCCAGATTTCTAGGCCTATCCTGGATATATAAAGAGACAAACAAAAGCAGATCGAGTTGTTCCATGATGGAAAGTTGGAAACTTTGTAGTTTTGCTCTGGACGTGACACAGCAGCCATGACAATCAAACATATGAAGATCAAGCTGCAATTTGCATTTGTCCTTGTCAATTTTCTTTTTCACTCGCACATGCATGCAATAATGTCTGAAGCCATTTTAGCAATGACCAAATCTGAAGCCATGCTTATTTGGTATAAGACTAAGAATATTGGGGTTGCTTGGCTTGAAGCAAAGCATGTTTGAGGATGAGATTTGTGTCATATTTTACATACGATATAACAGAAAAACTTACACATATCAAGTGTATGCGCTAATCCTCTCACAATCGACCAGGTGTTGTTCACATGATGAATACTATGAGAGAGACAATAGTTAAACGATTGTATACCCGTTACGTGTTAAGATAAATGTATATGGGATTTGCAAATAAGCCGAACGATGAGTTGACTTGAATCTTAAGGCTTGTTTACTTAATACATGAATTGAAGAAGTAAGGAATCATATATCACGTAATGAGTGCACGCTCTAGTTGATCCAGTTCATGATGTAGTATTGGGTTACGAATTTTACAAAGAAAATCAAACTTTTCATATTTTCAGAAGTGTTGCTAAACACATGGAAAGTTTGAGATTGAAATGATTCTAATACTCCATGTCACCAAAGGATTACATGGCAGTGAGAGTATCACGTTGAAAATATAGAAATGCAAAGAATTAACAATTCTTTAACATTTCAAACATTATCAGTTGATTTAAATTAATATAGTTCTTTCAACCATCAAGCCTTAAGAGATTAGATAATCAATAAATGCTTGTGAAATGACTGATTTCTAACCGTTAGACGCCTTCAAGCTAAAGCAATTTGAATTATGGACAATTGACAATCAAGAAAGATGAAGAAAGCAACTTGATCAGTTGCATGTTTGGTGCAAATTAGTGGAGTGCTGTTGGAACTTTAGAGCAACTCCACCTTGGAGCCCTCCCCTCAGTCAATTCACTATTCAATTCATCTTGTGAACAGTAACTGCCTTTTGCATCTCCACCGTTGCACTTGAATAGCCCTGGCAATAAGTAATAAAATATTAATTTTTTTTTTAACAAAATAATACTAAATAAATTTATTTGTAATTTTAGATAAGATATTTTAAATCGTTCTCGTTGCGTCACGTGTCATTTACCCAAAACGACTATTATTGGTCATAGATTTCAATAAGATTTTTATCCAACGTCATCGTGCCACGTATCGTTATCTTTTCAGATATTTTTTTCGGATTTTTTACAATTTAAAATTTTTTTTATTCAAATAATTAATCTCTGCCGTTGGATTTAAAAAAAAATTGAATTTCAACACTCTAGATTGTGCCACATGTCACAACGGTAACTTTTCTTAATTTTAAAACTATTTTTTTAAGTTTATAAAGCAAATTAACATCAACCGTTGATCTCAGATCGAACAGTTGATATTAAATCAGCTTTTTTTATATTTATTATCGTTGGAAATCGGACGGCTCGTATTAAAGAGCCGTTGGGATCGAACGGACTGTGGGAAGCCACGTGGCTTCCCAACGGTCACTGCGCGCGAGTCATTCACTCTGAAAACGTGTTGGCTGACGCGTCCCCACTGGTGCGTGAGGGGCACGCGCCTGACACAAAAAAATAAAAAAAAGGACGGACGCCAGGTATGGCGTCAGCCTGACGTCACACCCCTCGGGCTGAAGGGCTGGCAATCCCTCACGGGCATGGCCCTTGGGCTCTCATCCTCACTCGGGCTACCCAACACTGGAGCCGAACCCACCGACCCTCGGGCCCTTTCCTCTCGCCTGTCCTCCAAGCAAGGTCTAATGGTGGACTTGCTCTTAGATATTGAGAAGCGACCATATATCCACCAACTTTTCTTTTTGTTTCCCTCACTCATCATCCATCAACAGATCAACTTGCTTGAGCGTTGACTATTTGGGAGTTTGACATAAGGTACAAGGGTCCTAGGAATTTTGGTATGCCTAATTGCCTATGCACTGGCCAGCAGAAATAGTAGAAAGACATCGATTGTATATCTGACATGATAGCTACTTTTGCATTTTTTGTGAATGAGGATCCTCTCCGGATGAGGATCCTATCCTATCCGGATCCTCTTTGTGAGGATCCAAATGATTTTCTTTATGAAAATTTTGAGGATTTTCTAATCATGTCCGTTCATCGTACATCGCGCTGTTAGTTTTCGTCAAATACTGTTTATATTCAATTTTAAATAAAAAATTTACAATGATTTTTGACCCACGATGTATGAACGGATGTAATTGGAGGATTCCCGGATCCTCACAAAGAAGATCCGGAGAGGATCCTCCTTTGCTTTTTGCAATGTTGGCTTTGATTGTTGGAGTTGGATACTCTCCCTTCCTAATATTTCTTTTCTTAATTTTTTTAAACGATTACTATTAAGTCACTTCAACATTTTGTTTTGAATTTTTTATAGAGAGAAAATGACCAAAACGAAAGTGTGAGAGGAAGGGAGGAAAGGAAAGGAAAATAAGAGGGGAGAAAATCATACTCCTTGATTGCTAACGGTAAATTGTTACCTTTGTTCCATACAATGGATGGGATGGGATGTTAATTCTCACCCTTTAACTTTTCAGAACACAATACATGCAGCTGCTCTTAAAGCATCTCTGCTCGTTTTTGGAGGATAAGAACAATTGGAGGGCAAGGACAATAAAATTGCTCTTCCTATTCATTCTAAACAGTAATTGACTTTGTGCAAGTCCTCACGTTTAAAGGAGGAAGGGCAAGGGCAATATATTTTTTAATATTTTCTTCGTCTTATCCTCCATTTGTTTAATTTGCCAGTGTTTTTGTTTTTATTTTTTTTATTTTTTGAATTTTGCAAATGTACTTTTTAAGTGTGAACTTTGTATTAATTTTTTAGAGTTGGATTATTTTTTGTCGTTAAAATTTTCAATTTTTTAAAATTTGACAGACCATATGGCGTAGCCCCAATTTTTTTATTTTGTTTTTACCGTTGGAAATCTAACTGCTGTTGTTGCCTCAAATTCGGATCAAAATTATATAAAGGCTTAATTGGATTAATAATACCCGTGGTAATATGGTAGTTGGAAGATAGCCCATGCGGTAAAAAACTAGGATTTAAGCTCATGTGGTAAAGTTTGTTAGGATTTGTGCCCAAAATTGGAAATTTTGTCAACTTTTTGTTAATTAATAGCGCTTGAGCCAGCCTCACGTGTTAACAATTAATGGAGAGGTTTGTTTTAGCCTAATATGTGCATGGAGAGTTCTTTTTTAGCCTAAATGTGTGGCTCACGTGCTAATAGTTAACAGAAAATTGATGAAATTTTCAATTTTTGGCATAAATCCTAATAGACTTTACCACGAGGCTTAAATCTTAGTTTTTTCACCACATAAACTATCTTCTAACTATCCTATCACCACGGATACTATTAATCCAATTAGGCTATTAATCCACTTCCTTTCCTTCGCTCCCCCCCCCCCCCGGCGCCTCACTCTTAGCTCAGCCTAATTGAATATCAGAGTGCGTAACGAGCAAGACTAACAAAATAATAAGAATATTATTAAACTAACGAGAATGACAAAATGACTACAAAACTCTAGAGGATACATTGTGATTAACTTGTTATTCTACGAGCTACAAAACATTATATATACAAAGAACTAACATAACCCTAATAAACAAGAAAACAAAACTCTAATACTAATGGGCTAAGCTCAAATTCAAATAACAAAATAATTCTAAATTCCAACAAACCTGACTCGCGCCTCAGCTCAGCCTCACCCAGCAGCCATTCTCACTCAGTCTTCCCTCGACGTCGACCACTCGTCCACCTCACGCTCATCCCGGCGATCCGTGAGTTTTCTCTCGCCGTCTGGGCAACCCACCTCGATTCGAAAAAGTATCATTCTGTTCTATTTTTCTATTCAACGTGTGACTTAATTTTTTTGTAAAATTTTTTTCGCTCTAAAGGAATGTTCAATGATCTGCAGACTTGGTGTCAAGGAGATAATTTTGGTGGTTTTGCAATCATTTTATTGATTGCAATCAATGAATGCGTAGTATTAGTCTTATTACAAGTAGATTACCAATGGAAATGTTTAATGTGCAAATTGGCCTATTAGCATAGCAAATTAGCAAACCTGTCTTTGAATTTTAATCATGAGATTAACGAAGCGCTTGCAAGATTATTTCATTTTGCTTATTGAGATTGATGTGCTTTGCATTTTCTGTTCGTGTTTATCATTCATTTTATTACGATTAATCATGCTCTGTTCTTATGCCCACGAAAAAAAAAGGGAAGTTTTAGAGTCTCGGTCTCTTGATCGTCAAGCTAAAACTTTATAGTCACCCGGTGTGGGTTTATTGCCTAAACGCTGACCATAAAGTTTTAGTCTCACGACCAAAAGAGCGAGACTCTAAAAATCCAATTCTCCTTTTATTTTTCATTTTATCTGTCTATTTTAATAGGCCAGCCCAAAGCTAATTGTCCAAGAATTTGTCAGCCCAATTCGGCTCAGGGCCTTTTGCTCTCACTCTCAGTCCCATTTGCGAACAACTTCGGCGTTCTCTGGAGATCACCAATTGAAAATTGAAGAACGTTTTGAAAAACCAGCAAAGCCCTAGAGCGGCCATTGTCGCTTGTTATCACTCTCTCTTTCTCCGCGGTTAGAGCCACCGACTCGGTAATTTACTCTTCCCTTCCTCCATTTCTTCTAAATTTATCATGCTTTTATTTCTGTGTGTGTAGAATTGGGTTTCCGTTGTTACCTAGTTTTTACTTGATTTTGATCCAAACGGTGTTCCGTAGGTTGTGAAAATTGGGGGAAAATGTAAAGTTTGTTAATTTAATTGAATTGAATTAGCATTTTGCATCTAGTGCTTATCCATCTATTTGCACTGCAACTGGGGCAATTTTGTGATTGCTGATTAACACCGTGACTTGATTAATTTGTTCTTGCTGGGTTAATTTATGCAACTGGATAATTTCTTATTAGCTGGTTTACGCTGTAAGCGGGTTAGTTTGCCCTCGCTGATTTACGCTGCGATTGGGGGTTTATATGTCCTCTCATTTACAGTGCAAACTGGGTTTTTGTTCATTACTGTTTTTAATCCACACTGATTATTGGGCTTGCTGAGAACCGAAAGAAGATTTGATTGTGCCTCGTCTTGGTTTTCAAGCTTTATAACATTTAACTGAACTTGTTTCGATAGTTTAATAGAGTGTGTACTATTGGTTTTCAAGCTTTGTAATTTTGCTCTGCCAAGGTTTGTGAGCTCCCTTGTTTCTGCTATGGTGGAACTGGAGGCCGAAAGAATTTTTCAATGATGGTGCATTTCATTCATTGAAATACAAGTTCTTTCAGCGCTTAGTTGTTTCAATTGTTTTACTTTTTACAAATCAAACCTTTTGTACGGTAGAGTGAGTAGGAAAAACATATGGTGGATGTGCAAGCTACAGTTGGACAAGAACACAAATACTACATCTGTAAAACCATGCCTTAATGATCACTGTATGAGATCCTTTAAATACTTGTCTATGCGATAGTGTTTATAATGCATTTGATTGTGAGATTTCATAGGGTTTATACGTCCACTAGATGAAGGAAGCTTCTTTCGTAGCACACAATTAAAATTGAGTAAATTGAGACAAATCCAAAAACCCTTTGTTCCCAAAAACCGTCTTTTGAACTTCTTCTTAGTGAGTAGATTGAGACAATTCTGGTGGACATCCGATTGTACTGTCTTGGGATGAGACTTGTTTGATTTGCAGGCTGGAGTTCTAATCTGAGCAACACATTGGGTTTTATGGGGGCATTTTTTGTTAGTAGTTGAACTGCAAAAGGTTACAGCATTGCCGCTTTATGTAAAATGTTTATGTAAGTTTGAACCCAGATTTTCATGGGATAAGACCTTGCATGAGCACCTTCCACCTTGGTGAAAGTAGTTGTTTAACTTAAATACAAAGCGGTGGTTGTGGTCATGTTTATTGTAGCTTTTCTCATGATGTATTCGATTTTCTTTACTACTGAACTTTTCCAATCTTCTTTCAAAAGTTGGGTGCACCTAACAGTTTCTTGCTTGGATAGGTGTTCTTCGAATCATAAAATGGGTCGGAAGGTTGGTACGGTGTATATAAATCCAAAGAAATTTGGAACTTTTCACAAACCTTGCATGAAGGAAATGATAGCATTTCTCAACTGCATGGCTCCAAACCAGCTCTGTGATGATAAGTGTGTAAAGCAGAAGGAACTTTTGGGTACTTGTATGGAGGCTCAGGTAGATTTTTCGGTGTTCTCCTTAGGATTATGCATCTTCATTTTGTTCTCCGTTTTTTGCATCGATTCTTTTCATTCCTTGAAGTCTATCGTAATGCACCTGACCCTTTCGCTACAGAGCAACAAAAACAGAAAGTCAATGGGAAGCATCAATTACCACTTGCAGAGGCTGAGCAGGGGAAGGAAGTAGTTTGGCTTTGTAGGGAACGTTGTTTAAGTTGATGTATGATTATTTGGAGTCATCAATTACCACACACCCATTTTTGCCCTTTAATCGTCAATTCATTTGATCTGACATCCGAAAATTAAGAGGGGTGTGTGGACAGTACCATCGTGTTTCACGTATAATTTCCCTGCTTGATGCAATAGGTATGGGACTTTCTGGACATATTGTTTTTGAAAATTTCTGTTGCTAATTTGGTTTAATGAAAATTTCCATTGATCTGTAAACCTAAGTAACTTTAAAAATGAATTATGAAAATATCCTCCTTTTCTTCTCTTTAATTGTGAAAATATTTTTTTTCTCTAATTTATTTAAAAATTGAATTAGATTTAAGTTCTGTTAAGTTATTTGATGGTCCTCCTTTTTAGGTCAGTGAATGGGGAAGATACACATTATGAAAAAAAATTCTTAAGATAAATATTATATTCCACATTCACCGCCATACCCATTTTCGTGGTTTTTGAAAATTTACAGCAGTTTTATATAAAATTTTACCAAATACTCAGACACTGTTATTTTTACTTTTTTTAAAAAAAGCACTTTTATAACTAAAGTTTACCGAACACTAAACTGCTTTATTTTACAACTATTTATTTTTTCACTACAACAAAAACAATTGTTTTTTCAAAAAGCACATTAATACCAACCTAGCCCTAAGTCTTTACCTCGGTATAACAAGGGCTTTGTTTTATCTTTATTTTTTAGTAATGCTCTTATCAATATGAGTTGAATTGGCTCAACATTCGTGTCTGAGAAGCTCACTTCTCAGCCCGAGGGGCCATCCTCCCGGTCCGATAGTGATGTGTTAGATGTGAGCATCGAACTAGAAACCAATCGGTCATGCTACGTAATTTAGGATCAACAACATTACTGTTGCAAACCCTGACAGTTTGGCGAGAACGATGACACAGTCCAAACAATACCATTGTGTGTTTGAAACAAACTCACCTAAATTAAAAGAATAAAACAAGATTGGTAGCAAAAGAAAATTTGGGATAATGAAAAGATTATTAATCATAGGTCGCAAAGAGTAGGATGGAAAATGAAAAATATGAACCGAAATTCATAAACCATAGCACCAATAAAAAAACTAAATTCGCAACATAGACATATCCAACTACATACTGTGACTACCCAAACCAAAAGAGCAGTTCATGGAACTAAAGAAATTTATCTTAATCAACTTCCTCGATCTTCGGTCCAGCACCGCCTGAAGCCGCCGGAGGAGCATCTTTGTCCGGGGCTCCGCCACCCACATCAGCACCCGCACCCTGATACATCTTGGCAATGATGGGATTGCAGAGGTTCTCAAGCTCTTTCATCTTGTCCTCAAACTCATCACAATCACCAAGCTGGTTCCCGTCAAGCCACTGAATGGCGTCTTCGACTGCGTCCTCGATTTTCTTCTTGTCCTCCGGATTGAGCTTCGAACCAATCTTTTCATCCCTCACCGTGTTCCTCATGTTGTAAGCATAGTTTTCGAGTGCATTCTTGGCCTCCACTTTCTTCTTGTGATCCTCGTCCTCTGCCTTGTACTTCTCCGCCTCTTGAACCATGTTCTCGATTTCCTCCTTCGACAATCTACCTTTGTCATTGGTGATCGTGATCTTATTCTTCTGCCCGGTGGTTTTGTCCTCAGCAGAGACATTTAAGATTCCATTCGCATCGATATCAAAGCAAACGGTGATCTGGGGCACACCCCTTGGAGCCGGAGGGATGCCTGAGAGCTCAAACTTGCCCAACAAGTTATTGTCTCTAGTTCTTGTTCTTTCACCTTCATATACCTGAATCAACACACCAGGTTGGTTATCCGAATAGGTTGAGAAAACCTGTTCTTTCTTGGTGGGAATCGTAGTGTTTCGCGGGATAAGAACAGTCATAACTCCACCGGCAGTCTCCAATCCAAGTGAAAGAGGGGTGACATCCAACAAGAGCAGGTCCTGCACCTTCTCATTTCCCTCACCGCTCAAGATGGCAGCTTGCACGGCCGCACCATACGCAACTGCTTCGTCAGGGTTGATGCTCTTGCAAAGCTCCTTACCATTGAAAAAATCCTGCAATAGTTGCTGCACCTTGGGAATTCTAGTAGAACCGCCGACGAGAACAACATCATGGACAGTGCTCTTGTCCATCTTAGCATCCCTCAAACACTTCTCCACCGGCTCCATACACTTTCGGAAGAGATCCATGTTGAGCTCCTCGAATCTCGCTCTGGTTATGGTGGAGTAAAAATCAATACCCTCAAACAGCGAATCAATCTCAATAGTTGTTTGAGCAGTGGAAGAAAGAGTCCTCTTTGCTCTCTCACAAGATGTTCTCAATCTCCTCAGTGCTCTGGGGTTATTGCTAATGTCCTTCTTGTTCTTCCTCTTAAACTCTTGCACGAAATGATTCACCATTCGGTTATCAAAATCTTCACCCCCGAGATGAGTGTCACCAGCGGTAGATTTGACTTCGAAAATACCCTCTTCGATCGTAAGAAGGGAAACGTCGAAAGTGCCACCACCAAGATCAAAGATGAGGACATTCTTCTCACCAACACTAGTTGCTTTCTTGTCAAGTCCATAGGCAATGGCGGCTGCAGTTGGTTCATTAATGATACGCATAACGTTCATGCCCGCAATCACACCGGCATCCTTCGTGGCTTGTCTTTGAGAGTCGTTGAAGTATGCCGGGACTGTGACAACGGAATTCTTCACGGTTGAACCGAGGTAGGCTTCTGCTATTTCACGCATCTTGGTGAGAACCATAGACGAGATCTCCTCAGCAGCAAACTGCTTGTCCTCGCCCTTGTAGTTAACCACAATTGTTGGCTTGTCGCCGGCACCAGCAATGACCTTGAAAGGCCATAGCTTCATGTCACTCTGGATTGTGGCATCAGTGAATCTCCTACCAATCAAACGCTTTGCATCTAACATAGAGCAAACAAAAGTGTAAGTGGTCAAAATTTGGATATTAAAGCTTTGACCAAAAAAAAAAAGAAAAAAGGATAATGAAAGAAACATTACTGATCAAGTAAATCATTATAAGGGAAACATCATAATCAAAGCATAAGATGGCAATAACCTAAAACAACAATTACAACTGTACTATCACAAATCATGTTTAGATATACCAAAGATTGAGATTAAAACATTTAAAACAAGTACATTAATTATCTGTCCCTAACATCAAATCCACACACAAGTGATCACAAATCTTTAGTCATCACTCAACAACAATAATCAGCCATCTCGCATTCAAGTCCAAACATGGAGCTCAATCTCTTTTTCTATTTATCCATGATCTCAAAAAAATTAAAAAAATAGTGGAAACAAAGGCTACATTGAATTGTGATTCACAAAATTAAATCTTAGGAAATGGCATGTTTTCTTCTAAAATTTTTTTGATTAAAAGATGTGAGTTTTAATGAAACATTCTCGGTGTTGTTCACTTTTAACGAAAAACCACATTTTTACATTTCTCTGATACTATTTATTACACCTTCATTTGTCATTTTTCATTAAAACTAAATTTTTTTTAAACTTTTCGTTAGTTTTCTTTTAAAAGATACTAAATATATATCAAATATATTATGAGATGTCGTACGCCTCTTGATTAAAAATGTGATCAAATAGTATGTAATCATCGACGAATTGCTATCCACATTTATTTTTTCAGATGCGACAAACTACATAAAATAAAACAATCTTATCAATCAAATCCAATTTATATTCGCTTACTTGAGCCATCACACATACACAAATGAATCACAATGACCAATTTAACCTTTAACCTTATCAAACCACCATGAAACCCTAAGACACACAATCTTTCGATCAAAGGTCATATTAGACAAATCATGCATGCAATCTGCAGATACGAAACAAAAAAAAAAACAATTAAACGAGGTTTGGACATGCAGGTATACCCACCAAAAACAGTGTTGACGGGGTTCATGGCGACCTGGTTCTTTGCGGCATCGCCAATCAAGCGCTCAGTGTCGGTGAAACCAACGTAGGACGGCGTCGTCCGGTTACCCTGATCATTGGCTATGATCTCAACACGATCGTGCTGCCAAACTCCGACGCATGAGTAGGTGGTTCCAAGATCGATGCCGATCGCTGGACCCTCCCCTTTTGCAGCCATTGTTGAAAACTTGTAAAAAACCTTTTGAATGAAACTTGCTTTTTTGTGAGTAGTATGAAGGTGAATTAGGTTATACTGGTGAACCGATGGTTACATATTGATATATAACAGAGTAAACCTTCTCGACCGAGTTTATGTGGGATTTCATAGACCGAGTTTCCAGAAGCTTCTTCTCCAACTGTTTCCATATTTTATAGCGAATGTGTGGTTTGACAGAGTAAAACTGGAATATGAGATTTTTAGTTTTTCTGTGTTTTTTTTTCTTTCTAAAACATGAGTTTCTTTTAATACAAAGATATATTTACCTTAAGAGTTAGGAGAATAAATTGGTTACGAACTTGCCATTTACGGGATTTGAACTAAAATATTATTACTTAAAATGTAATGAAATACCAGTAGAACGTGGTTGTAAATGACAAACATGAGTTTCTTTTTTTGGTGAAATGGCAACGGTTGTATTAGAACGTTAAGAAGATCTACAAATTTATGAATATTTGGACCAAACAACGTACCGTGACACTTCAAACGTTTTGATCAAGTTGTAAAAGGAATATATTTAAGGCTAAATTGGAGCAAAGGTATCTGATCTATACTACGAGTTCAATTTTTATATCTGAACTTTGCTAATAGTTTCTCCCATCCTTGAATTATGTCATTTGTTGCACTAGTAGTCATTTTAATTAACTCCGTCAACTTTTCCATTAAGTTCAGGGGTAAAGTAAAAATTTCATCCAAAAAATAAGAAAATAAAATTTTAAAGAGAAAGACTTGGCTCCTCGAGGATTGAGGGAGCACTCCTTAAAATATCTCGTGACCTATTCACGGAACTTCTTGATTATGATTGGAACTCTTTAAGGATTAACAAAGCGATTCTAGTTTTAATTATTTTTTGTTCAACTTTAGATTAAATACCCATTTTACCCCTTAACTAAAAGTTGATGGAGTTAATGAAAAGTCCACAAGTGCTACATGGGAAATAATTTGAGGATAAGAGCAACTATTAGTAGAGTTTAGGGATCAAAACTAAACTTATGGTATGACTTAACGACCTTTGCTAGCCTATATTTAAATTAACGTAAAATAAATTAAAAGAAATCCT